CTTTGGGAGAGCTCTGACCCTTGGAACTGCCAACCGCGCCAGGTAAAAGAGCTTAGGGTTTAGGGCTTAGGGCTTAGGGTTATCAGATTTAGGGTTTAGGGTTTCGGGCTTAGGCTATAGGGTTTAGGGCTAAACCCGAAACCCGAAACCCTAAACCCTAAACCCGGTTCTAGGACTTTGGGGAGCTTCCGGTGGTTTTACTTGAGAAGCCCAGGTGGTTTGCCATCGTCACTTCGGTCGCATCGCTGGTGGGGACCTTCTTGGTCCCGCAGCTCGTCGAGATCCTACACCTGCAGCTCGGCTTTCTTCTGGCTGGCTCTTGCCCTAAACCCTAAACCCTAAACCCTAAACCCTAAACCCTAAACCCTAAACCCTAAACCCTAAACCCTAAACCCCTAGGACTTGAACCTTTTGGGTTTTTGTAAAAAAAGCTACAATATGGAGCCGAGAAGTTAAACGGAAGTCAGCCAAGGCAGCAGCGGCTCAAGTTGGTTCTTGCGGCTTGGATCTGCTTCAGGAGCCTACTTGGAGGTTCAGGGCACTTAGCAACCAATTATAAGCGCACTTAAACCCCACGTATAAGCCCCCCAAGTGCCCGAATATGGGTATAAGTACAGTTATAAGTACAGTCATACTTAGTTACTAAGTACCATGAACCTCCAAGCATACATAAGGCACCTTCAAATACATCAAGCGCATTCCTTGCGAAAGTAGTTCTTGACAAGTGCATTGCTGCTTGCTCGGTTCTTGTGTTAGTCTAAACCCGAACCCTAAACCCTAAACCCTAAACCCTAAAACCCTAAACCCTAAACCCTAAACTTCAGCTCTTATAGGTGGTCACCTTGTGCTTGCAGCTGGTCGCCTACGTGCTCTTTGCCGTCCTCCTCCCGGATAGCCCCATTCCCTTGGCGAGTCTTGGCTGCCTAGTGGTACCCTTTTCCCTTTTTTGTTGGGTCTAGGGATTAGGGTTTAGGGTTTAGAGTTTAGGGGTTAGGGTTTAGGGTTTAGGATTTAGAGTTCAGGGTTCAGGGTTCCTTTGAAAGTAACCAACCCCCTAAAGAGTGCCCTTATCATAATATGACTACTGGGCTACCAAGGACTGGCTCAACTGGGATGCTTGGCCCAGCACACCACCTGACTTCAGGGTGCTTTAGGGTTTAGGGTTTAGGGTTTAGGGTTTAGGGTTTAGGGTTTAGCCAAGCATCCTCAGCCCTGACCTCGAAGCCCCAAGTACGAGGCTCTGAACTCTTTGGCCTAGATCTCTAAATGCTAAACCCTTGAACCCTTAAGCCTGAAGCCCCCAAATACTAACCCTTGCACCCATAAAAAGAGAGACCCTTTATTCCCAAATTCCCAAATCCTGCAGAGTTTAGGTCTTCAGCTGCACGTTCCCAGAAACCAAAATGTGTTGAGACACACCCACAGGACCCACTGGGGTTCAGGGGGGTTCGGACGATCTTAAAGTAGTTACACATGGTTCTCCTTAAGATTGTGGGCCCTTGGTTTGTACAGGGTATGCACTAACCCTAAACCCCAAACCCTAAACCCCAAGTCTCATGGAGCCATAAACTTTCAGCTTCTGGGGCCTCCTTCATTTTGTACTGGCAAAGGAGCCCTAAACCCTTAACCCTAAACCTTAAACCCTAAACCCTAAACCCTAAACCCTACGCCAATGCCTCGCAAACATCCGAGGATGCTGATGGCGTGCGTGGTGCTGGCCAGCATCGCCGAAGGTGCTGCGTGTGGGGTTGAGCGTTTAGAGCTGTAGGTTCTGGGGGTTTTAATTCTTCTAAAGTGTGCACCCTAAACCCTGAACCCTAAACCCTGAACCCCCTAAACCCTAATCCCTAGACCCTAAACCCTAAACCCTAGACCCTAAACCCTAAACCCTGAACCCTAGGATGTTGGGTGTATTGTGCATGCAGATGACGTTTGGGGCCTTAGGTGCACGGGCCCCCTATACAACCCCAATGCCTAGAACTGGCATAGGCGTAGGTTCTGCTCCACATATACAGGGCGGATGACCTCTAAATCCAAAAACACTAAACCTACTCCAGCCACTAAGCCAGTAAACCCTAAACCTTGGAAACTTCAACCCTCAACCCTAAGCCCGAATCCAAGCCCAAAATCGCAGGTATTCCTGGGGCTTGAACTGGTCGCCTTTTCCTCTATCCTCAGGGTCCTTCATTCAAGAGTTGAGGAGGGCAGGGGTTCAGGGCCTCACAGAGTGTGTGCCCACCCCCCCCCCCCCCCCGACGGGTGGCTAAACCGCTGTTTTACCTCTTTTAGCAACCCTTTTGGCCGTATGAAACCTGCTAGGCGCTGTTACCCCTTGAACTATACCCTTTAAAGCCCCGTAAGCCCTTTAAGCCCTTGAAACCCTAAAGCCTACCCGAGGGGCAGAAGCCCAAAACCCCAAGCTTCTGCCGAAGGTGCCGTGGCCACCCTACACCCTAAACCCTAAACCCCAAACCCTAAACCCTGAACCCTAAACCGAAGGTGCCATGGCCCCCGTGATCTACGAGCTTGGGGCCGAGCTCACCTACCCCAAGTCAGAGGGGGCGACTTGAGAGCTGAAGTTAGGGTTGTGGGGCCTGGTTTAGGGTTTAGGGTTTAGGGTTTAGGGTTTGGAAGCATTCTTGTAGCTTGTCAAGTAGGGACAGGGATTCAGATTTAAGATTTTGAGCGTACATTTTTAGGATACTTCGGGCTTGTAAGACAGGTTTTCATCGTTTAGAGTTATCACCATGTAACGGATTCTTGGAAGGAGGTAAGGGCCCACCCTAAACTGCCCTAAACACTAAACCCGAAACCGGAAACCCTAAACCCTCAACCCTAAACCCTCAACGCTAAACCCTAAACCCTAAACCCTGTGCCCTTGTTATTTTCTTTTGGGACAATGGGCGCTTTGGGAGGAAGAGCCTATATCGGAGTTAGCTTGGGAGGGGAACCATGCAAGATTAGCGTATAGGGTTTAGAGTTCAGGGTTTAGGGCCAGGGTTCAGGGTTTAGGGCCTGGGGTGTGCTGTGTAGGGTTTAGGGTATGCTGAGTTTTTTTGTGCTTGTTCCGGGTACTAGCGGGCAAGGTGTTAGGGTGCAGGGAGGTGAAAGCTTCGGTTCCTACAGGGTTGTGCCTGGAGGTTCATGGGTTCTTTTCAACCCAATTACTGGGACATTGTTGAAAATCATTTGACATGTTTATAAACACTTAAACCCAATAATTTAAGGAACATTGGTCATGTTGAATAGTACCCCAACAATGGTACAGATTGTAAAAGTTATAATTGGGGTTACTTGCGCAGCTCCCCCTTATACTAGCAGTCCTGAATAGGGAATATACTAGGCGCTACTATAGTCCCTATTCTGGACTGTTAGAATAATAAGGGGTAACATCCCAAGGGGTATAACCCTAAACCCTAAACCCTGAACCCTAAACCCTAAACCCTAAACCCTGAACCTCCAAGTAGGGCCTTTGCGCCTGTTCCCTGAAATCCCGAAGCCGACGCCGAGTTTTTTCCCAAAGGCGATCCTGAACGGCACACTGGCCAGAGTTCGCCTTCATGAAGGGTTTAGGGCTTAGGGTTTATAAGGGTTTAGGGTTTGGGGTTTGGGGTTTAGGGTTTAGGGTTTAGGGTTTTATTTTTTGTTTTATCAGGTAACTGGTGCAGCATTTTCCTGGTTGATCAACCTCTTCGGGGTGGTGCTGCTGGCCGTGTACCCGGTGGCTCGGAGGGCTAAGTGTCAGGCTGTTGTGACCCAGCGAGCTAGGGTGCAGTTATGGAATCCCATATACACTACCCCCCACCCTAGCCGCCTCCCACCCGAAAGAAGGACCCAATCAGATGGAATAAGGGCTCTTGTGGCCGTAGTTTGGGTGGTAGTGTGTGGGGTGGGGGGTGTTATAGGATCCCAAATATTGCGTGCTTAAAGTAAACCCTAAACCCTAAACCGTAAACCCTAAACCCTAAACCCTAAACCCTAAACCCTAAACCCTAAACCCTAAACCCTAAGGGCGGTCGGGCCCCGAAGAGTTTTTGGCTGTCAGGTGGTGCCCTCGGCCTATGACTCCCTGATGATGGTGGGGGTCTGCGCCGTAGCACTCATAGGGCTGCAGCTCCTTACCTGGCCAATATAGGGTATAGGGTTTAGGGTTTAGGGTTTAGGGTTTAGGGTTCAGGGTTTAGGGTTTAGGGTTTAGGGTTCAGGGTTCAGGGTTTAGGGCTTTAAACTTTTTGATCTTCCTTGTTTAGGAGGAACAATGAATTACAGTTTAACCTTTTTTTCCCCCTAGGTTATTGGAGAAGTAAGGCTCGTCACTGCAGAGTATCCTCGGCGGGAGCTGGACGACAGGGGCTGCGACACTGAGCTGCTCCGTGGGTAATGCAGGTTTAGGGGTTTAGGGTTTAGGGTTTAGGGTTCAGGGTTTAGGGTTTAGGGTTTTCCAACATGCTCCCTGGCAATGCCGATATAGCGATACTAGTTAGTGATAAAACTCGAGCTACCGATGTAGTAACAGCGATGGGCAACCAGAACCAAACCCAGACCCTTCCAGGCCTCAACGTCTGAAACCCTACAAAGTAAGGGGTTTCAAACCGGGAGAATGCCGCCTTTAGGCCTCTTGGGCCACTGGGGCATTCCTTCCAGGAAGCTGAGACGAGACAGGCGTCGGTCAAAAAGCTAATCGGATCTGCAACCGCTACCACTTACCCCACATCTCCTGAGCCCAAACAAATGTAGGTCCTGGGTGCATAGGGCCTAAAGCTTAGTGCCTTTGCATAGCCGTTTCTGAATTCTTACAGTGCCCTACCTGGCTTAGTTCATGCAACTTGCTACTGACGACCCTGTCACGACAAAAACCCAAAACCCCACAGGCTTAACTCAGCCTTCGGCCTAGTTCCCTTCCCGTCTCTGCTTGCAAAACTCTAAACCCTACACCTGCCCAAAACCCGAAGTCCCAGACTCTGAACCCTACACCCTCCTTCCATGTCACTGTGACACAGGTTGGCTTAGCCGCCGGGGGCCCGGCTTGAGCTCGGTTTTGGGATCAAACCCTAAACCCTAAACCCTAAACCCCAAACCCTAAACCCTAAACCCTAAACCGTGGGGGGGGGGGGGGGGGGGGGGGGGGGGGGTTGCTGGGGTAGCTTGTTCTCTTGGGCTTGATTCAAGCCTACGGTGTATCTGATGGAAGTTGCATCGTTCCTTCAGAATACGTTCTTTAGAGGGTTCTGAAGTATGGACCCTTGGGAGTTACAGGGTATATAAGGGTTCCCCAAGCAAGGGCGCATACTAAGGCACTAAGGGATCACGTATCTACCCTGAGAGTTTATGGTTCGCATGCGGATGCGATCTTGTAAGTCAAATCCAAGAGGATTGGAGCTCGATGGGAAGTGCAACATGGTGCGAAGGCAAAGGCGAAGAAGAAGGAGGGCTTAGGGTTTAGGGTCTAGGGCTACCGGAAGTCATATATATATATATATATATATTAATATTTCAACCCTCATAATTCCGAAAGCTCTGAACCCAACACCCCCCGCTCTATCCGCACCCACCCATCCATCCCCAAAACAACCCTAAACCTTCAACCCTCAACCCCCAAACCCTAACCCCCCCCAAACCCTCAACCCCCCAAACCCTAAAGCCCAAAAGAACCTTCAAACCCCAAGCTCTAAAGCCCTAAATTGCCCTCGAACCCTCAAGGCTCAAACCCCCAAACCCTAAACCCTAAACCCTAAACCCTAAACCCTAAACCCTAAACCCTAAACCCTAAACCCTCAACCCTCAACCCTAAACCCTAAACCCCTAAACCCCTAAACCCCTAAACCCTAAACCCTAAACCCTAACCCTAAGCCCTAAACCCTAAACCCCAAACCCCAAACCCTAAACCCTAACCCCTGGACCGCAAACCCTGCGCACAATAGGTCCAGTCTTCACTCCCCGAGACGCCGGTCATCGGCATCGGCGCAGGGGGCCGCGTCGCGGGCCAGGCCTCGGCTAGGGTTTTAGGGTTTAGGGTTTAAGGTTTAGGGTTTAGGGTGTAGGGTTTAGGGTTTTTGGGGTTTACCCGAACCTATCTTTTGGGGTTTGGGGTTTCGGGTTTGGCTTTGAGGGTTTAGGCTTCAGAGTCTCCCCCGTAAACCCGCAGCTCTGAGTTGGGGAAGTCCAGGATATCAGGTATACAGGGCTTCTAGGACTTTCGGAATTTTCAGGGTTTTGTGGCAGCAATGGGTGTATGCTGCTTTGAAACAGGGTTTAAGAAAAAAACAGGCTTCAGGCTTATACCATCGAGGGTCTGTGGTTCAGGACATTCGAGGTCTGTTCTGAGGGTTTAAGGCTGCAGAGTGTTGACAAGGTGCTACTTGTAGACCGATAAGTATATATATATATATATGTTTATATGTATGTATAAGTATATACGTATGTGTATATATGTATAAGTCGTAGTCAGGGTTTAGGCTGCTAGTCCTGAAAGCGTCCGTGTACCTATGTAGAATATTCTTGGACCCTAAGCTACTATACCGGAACCGCTGCAACGTTCAAGTACGTACTCTCTGGAAACATGAAACTTGGGCTGTGGAGACCATCGTGCTCAGGTTTTGCCTATCTAAGGGTAGTTACATGATCCCTTAAGTCTCTTACCTTCTCTAAACCTTTCTAAGTACGGGCCCTTGGGTCTTATAGGGCCTGTAAGGGGTATACAAGGGGTCCCCATTTACGGGCCCATACTAAGGGACCATGTAACTGCCCTCAGATACACCCCCAACCCCTAAACCCTAAACCCTTCGAAGGACTGAGATACACCCTGGACCCGAAGCCCTAAACCCTAAACCCTGAATCACTGACCTCCGCGAGGTCTTGGTGTGTGACGACATGCTGGGCGTGCACGGCAGCCCGTGCCACAGAGATTATGGAACTGGGTATCCCAAACAGACCCTCCAGTTGGGGCGGGTGGCGGGGGCGGAAGGCTTGGGGGTTTAGGGTTTAGGGTTTAGGGCTTCGGGGTTAGGCTTATCCCATGTTTGCATTTCGGGCATCGAGACCTCTTTCGTTGCTGTGAAAGAAGAGGCCCTCCAACCCAAAGCTGTGCTGTGTCCGCTTGCACCCAAAACCCGAAATCCTAATTCCTAAACCCTATACCCTAAACCCTAAACCCTATAAACCCTAAACCCTAAACTCCAAAACCCCAAAAACCACGAAAGCCACAAACTCTTCATCATCCCGAAGCATCTGCAGATATGCCGTGGGCAGCACACCAGGGACCTGCAACGACCTCCTCACCCATGGTTCGCATTGGTTGGTTCCAGCAGCTGTACCTAAACCCTCTAAACCCTCTGAATTCTCTAAACCGCCACACCCTATAAGCCCCCCCAAAACCTCTAAACCCTATAAACCCTCAAGCAACCAAGCAATTAAAGCAGCCAAGGTCCCCCATCCTTCGCAAAGATGTTCGCCGACGTGGGCAAGGTGTCGGAACAGGCGTGCTTGTTTGATTTCTGGGAGGAGACCTCTTGGGCTCTTGTGATCAGAGCTCCCTCGAAACGCTGCTAAACCCTCTATCCTGAGTAAGCAGAGTTTGGGTGGTTTGGGGGTTCAGAGTTTTGACATGACTTCTGCTAAGCCGTACACTCTCGAAGCACCCGAATTGAGACCCTAAAGCTGTGCTGTTGTTGAGGGAGGTGGAGGGAGCGGGGGTTAGAGGGTAGGGCTGGGCGCCCAGACCATGCAAATGACTTGGGGGCACCGCGAGAGCTCGGCAAGAGAAGCATCAAAAATGTTCTGCTTTGGGGTTGAGATTTTGTTTTTTAAGGATAACTTGGTAGCCCATTGTTCTGGGTTCCCTTAAGAAAGTAAGCAACCCCGAAAAGGGTGCCCTTATTGATGCGGTCTACTGGGCTACCAATCTAAGGCCCCACGAACTCTCAACTGCCGACGCATGGGTGACCCAACACCCTCGGCCCTCAACCCGTGCAAGGTGTTGTTTGTGTCTAGGATTCCAAGTATGGGCCCTACACTACATGGTGGTTTCCGAAAATAGGGGTACCCTTTTGGGGGGCCCCTTTAAAGGGATTCCATTCTATGTGGGGTATAAACGAGGTACCCCTATATTGTATATAAGGGTCCATACTTCGGACTCCTAAGAAGCAAGGGGAAAAGACCGTGTGAAGGGCCTATGCTTCCAACCTTAGATTTGGGTGCGGTGGCCCAAGGTTTGGGATTTCAGGCTTTTCGGTTGGGATGTTCCCCCTTAATTGGGATCATAGTACCCCCTATTCTATTTCCCTCTCAAGGACTGTTAGTAAAAGGGGAAGCTTTGCAACTTAAATGTTTTGGGGTTTCGAGGGTTTAGGGTTTAGGGTTTAGGGTTTAGGGTGCCGATCTGCTCAAGCTCAGGGTTCAGGGCTTTTTCGGGTTGCTTAGCTGGGGGATTTAGGTCTTTTAGGTTTGCGGTTTTAAGGTTTAAGGCTCAGTTGTTTTTTTTTTAACCCTAAACCCTAAACCCTAAACCCTAAATCCTGAAGTTTCTGGGTCCTGGGGCTTCTTGGTGCAGAGGTTTTGTGGCCTTCGAGGTTGACTACAGTATTATTTGCTTAAGACCCCCCCCCCAAAAAAGAAAAAAAACAACAACAACAACAACAACAACAACAACTACTACTACTACTACCACTACTACTACTACTACTACTACTACTACTACTACTACTACTACTACTACTACTACTACCCTACGAGTCAAAACCCCCACAACCCTAAAACCCTAGAAACCCGAAAACTGCCATTACCTCATAGCCCTAAAACCCCAAGCTTGCGGAGGCCTATGCCACCTACGTGGAGGAAGTGCGAAGCGGCCGTGGACTAAGGGTGTCCTCCGCAATATTTCTAGGACCCAGAGGAGGTGTTTGGGGTTCAGGGCTTAGGGTTTAGGGTTTAGGGTTTAGGGCTAGGAGCCACCTTTTTGGGACACTGTGCAGAGAGTGGTGGATGCTGTCAGGAACTTGGGGGGGCGAAGCTGCCGAGAAACATGTTCACAACTTCCCGAGAGGGTCCATATACCCATCTTAGTAGCTGAGGAGTTCGGGGTTTAGGGTTTAGGGTTTAGGGTTTAGGGTTTAGGGTTCAGGATACAGTCATAATGGTTAATCAGTACCCTCCAAGTACCCTTTGTCTTGGTGCCACCAGGCCTGGGTCCAGTTGGCCTTCGCTTTGCACAAACGTTTTGGTTTTGCACCTGGTTGACAAACGTAACAATGTCAATGGGCGCCTGCCGCAGTGTGTGTTTTTTTATTAGTTTTTTTTTGGGTGTGGGTTTAGTGTTTAGGGTTTAGGGCTTAGGGTTTAGGGTTTTGGGTTTTGGGTTTGCAGGGTTTTTGCACATAGCAGGACCTTTGTGACGAACGTGCCCTGTGCAAATCCCTTGCGGTCCCAACGTATGGCGTTACCGGGTTTAAGGCTTAGGGTTTAGAGGGCTTAGGGTTTAGGGTTTAGGGTTTAGGGTTTACAGGGCTTAAGGGTCTTGTAGGGTTTAGGGCTGAGATGGGATCATTGGGTTTGTAGCGTTGTAGTGTTCGAATCTCCCCCCTCAATGAACATACTTCGTTTCTGGGGGGGTTGTATAGGACGCCTGATGTGTGTCTATGAGGGACTCTACATGTAACGTGGTGGTTTCTTAAAGTCGTGTTCGGGGTGTGGGGTTTGAGGTTTCGAGCGGCTTCACGGGTCCGCCTTGGGCCTTGATTGCCGCAGGGGTTTAAGAAGACTCGAAAGTCTGCAGCTTGATGTTTAAAGCTCTGGGGTTTTGGCGTGGTTTCTCTTGTTGAAACATCCCGAAAAGTCGTCCTGAAGCACTTCTAGCAACTTTGGTCCGGGTTCTCCTGGCTTTTGGACTAGGGCTTAGGGGTTAATCATGGCTTTCCCTACTACCCCCTCTAAACTACCCTCCCTAGGTTCCCCCCACAATTAAGGGCATTTAGGGATAGGTAAGCTTAATTAATTAAGGCTATTTAAGGGGGGAACTCAGGCCGGGGGTTGTTGAGTATAGAGGGGGGTAGTAGAGACACCCATGACTTAAGGGGTGAGGGTTCAGGGTTGAGGGCAGTTCCTGAGGCGAGTTCCCGGGGGACAAGCACAGCCGGCGCATGCAGCTAGGCTTTTGAAGCAGCACACGCTTTTTGTGTAACTTTCGTTGTTTGGGTTCAGGGTTCAAGGTTTAGTGTTCAGGGTTTAAGGTGTAGGGCAATTCTTGTGGGCTCCCGTGAGGTTATGTGCTGCGCACCCCTAATCCTTCTAGAACCTTCAGTGCGACACAGAACCCTAAACCCTATTCCCTAAAGCCAAATCCCTAAACCCTAAACCCTATGAAGCTCTGCACCCTACACCATACAAGCCCTGTACCAGGGTCGTCGATACGCTCCGGGCGACGAAAAGAGCGAAACCTTAATTGAGGAATATGTGCCCTTAAGTCATGACTGGGATCATCACATGGTTTCAGGTCTATTCCCTTGAATCAGAGTAGGGGTCCTCATATGGTTCAAAAAGGTCTATGAAGCCCTAACCCTAAACCTTAAACCCTAAACCCGAAACCCTAAACCCGAAACCCTAAACCCTAAACCCTAAACCCAAACCCTAAACCCTCTTCATTAGTTAAAAGGGTTTTAAAGGGCTCTTTAGGGGATGCGTCTGGAGAAGCCGAGGACCGAGGTCGAGCGGGAAAAGCTGCAGGGAATGCTTCCCGAGGCAAGGAGATGCTGACAGCAAGGGCAGTTTAGGGTTTGGGGTTTAGGGTTTAGGGTTTAGGGTTTAGAGGGCTTAGGGTTTAGGGTTTAGGGTTTAGGGTTTAGGGTTTAGGGCTTTAGGGTTTAGGGTTTACGGTTTGTAGGGTTTAGGGTTTAGGGTTTAGTGTTTAGGTTGAGGTTTAAGGGTTGAGGGTTTAGGGTTTAGGGTTTACAGTTTACGGGGGGGGGTAGGGTTTAGGGCTTACAGGGTTTAGTGTTTACGGGGTTTCGGTGTGAGGTTCAGGGTTTATAGGGTGTAGGGCTTACAGGGTCCAGGCGTGTGGCTAGGATTTTACAGGGTTCAGGGGTTTAGGGGACATTGGATTTGATTTTGTATCTTGGTTGGTCGATAGGGCTGGAATGGGATGATTTTGGTGCCTGCTTTTGTGGTATATGGGAATTGGGAACTTACGACACTAGTGGGCATTCTAGTACAAAAAGATCCCCTACCAAAGTCATCCCATTCCAACCCTATCGACCAACCAAGATACGAAATCAAAGCCGATGTCCCCTAAACCCTGAACCCTGTAAAATCCTAGCCACACGCCTGGACCCTGTAAGCCCTACACCCTATAAACCCTGAACCTCACACCGAAACCCGGTAAACACTAAGCCCTGTAAACCCTAAACCCTACTCCCCCTCAAACTGCAAACCCTAAACCCTCAACCCTCAAACCTCAACCTAAACCCTAAACCCTAAACCCTAAAAACCGTAATAAACCCTAAACCCTAAACTTGCGGGTTGCCGAGCTACGACCATCTGCCTGCTGCTGTAGCACAGGCACCTGGGAGCCAGAGTAGGCCTCTCCTCCCTTTTTCTAGGGTTTAGGGTTTAGGCTTTAGGGTTTTGGGTTTTGGGTTTAGGGTAGGGCCCTTTGTTGGTTCCCTTAGAAAGCCCTTTAAAACCCAAACCCAAAAAGGGCACCCTTTTTGTTCCTGGGTTACTCGTCGGCCGAGCCAAAACCCTAAACCCGAAACCCTAAACTCTATACATGGACCCTAAACCCTAAACCCTAAACCCTAAACTCTAAACCCTTACCCAGACCGATGATCGCAGCGGTGCCCCGGAGCCCTCGGAAAAAAAAAGGAGCTGGTCGTTGACGTACCACATGCCGCCCCAGGCCCTGGACAGTTACGCGCCATCTTGTTGGCCATGGTGCCACCCGCGCACTTTCCCTATGGCTTGGGTGGCCATGGCGTGCCTCGCTTCACTGCACTGCCAGATGGGGCGAAGCACTTGCTCCTACGAGACCGCACGGACGACACTGCGTGGCGTCGCAGCTTGCCCTTCGTGGCGGTTCTCTTCAACACAACGCACCGCCGGCGCCTGCTGCGAGCCGCCCGCGTGCGCTTGAGCGCCCCGTCTTGGGCAGCGACCATTCGGCAACTCAACGCACTGCGGGCTGCCTCTCGGCGCCAACCCGAACCTCCAACCCTACTAAGACCCAGACCCTCGGATCCTCATCACGAGCTCCGTCTTGAAACCTACAAAAGCCGGGAGACTCGGCCCGGCAGGCCCTGCCAGCTTCGTATTCAGCCCGGCCCTAGGGCCCTAAACCCTACTTTCTAAAGCCCTGAACCCTAAACCCTAACGCCCTAAAACTCTAAAGCCCTAAAGCCCTAAACCCCTAAACCCGAAAACCCTAAAGCCCTCAACTGCACCCTAACACCCTAAAACTCTAAAGCCCTAAACCCAGAATGTAAACCCTAAACCCTAAACCCCAAACACTAAACCCTAAACCCCTAAACCCTAAACCACATCAGGTGCAGCTGGTGCCTCCGCCGGCCGAATATCTTCAGGCCCTGGGGCTCAAAAGGTTCGGTTGCCTTGTCCCCCTAGTTGCTTAGTAAGGGTTTAGGGTTTAGGGTTTAGGGTTTGGGGTTTTTGGTTTAGGGTATAGGGTTTAGGGTTTAGGGTTATATCTACCCTTTGAGGGACGAGGTAGGGTCCTAATGCCCTCATCCGCTACTAAGAACCAGCCAGTTGTTTCTGTCTTGTGTCTTCTTTACAGGTAGTATGATGCTAGAGCCTAGAAAAAAACCGTACACAACCTACACCCTGGCCCCAGCCACTAAACCCTAAACCCTTAACCCTAGCGCCTAAACCCTTGACCCTCACGCCCTAAACCCTAAAAACCCGAGCCCCTAAACCCCAAACCCTAAACCCTAACCCCTAAACCCTAAACTCTAACCCTAGCCCCTAAACCCACAAAGCCCTAAACCCTACAATCCCGAAACCCTATGTACCCTGAACCCTGCCCTAAACCCTAAACCCTAAACCCTGGAATCCCTAAACCCTATAAACCCCAAACCCAATAAACCCTGAACCCTACAAACCCCATACCCCCTATATATACCCTAAACCCTGAACCCTAGCCCTGAACCCCAAATCGTAAACCCTAGCCCTAAACCATAAACCATAAACCCTAAACCCTAAACCCTACAAAGCCTAAACTCTAATCCGTAAACCCTAAACCCTAAACCCTAAACCCTAAACCCTAAACCCTGTAAAGAATAAGCCCTTGTAGCCGTCTCAGGAGGTGTCGGATTCCGCGGAGGCTGTGCCGGCGCCCTCTGCCCGAAGCTCAGAGCTCTGTCAGAAGGGGCTTCGTTGGGGTTTAGGGTTTAGGATCAGAGAGCGGCAGCGCAACAAGTTTCCAAGCATTCGCTCTCCTACAAAGTCGCCAAGAGGCCAGGAGTATGCACTTGCGTGCTGCAAGTCGTGCTTGCCACGTCGAAATGTTCAGGTTGCTTCCACAGGAAGTCAACGCTGTTTGTGCTGTGTGCGTATGACCCCCGATGTGGTACGGCGCCCTCAAAATAAAGAAGCACCCCCCCCCCCCCCCCCCCCCCCAAAAAAGAGGCCTTGATTGAGAGAAGTACTATAGGCGTCGGAAGAACTACGAATAGTATTCCCTTATGGCCCCTATTTAAGTATACTTGGAGGTTCAGGCTACTTATGACTCCAATTATGACTGTACTTGTAAGCCCTCTAAGTCCGGGCCTAAACCCTAAACCCGAAACCCTAAACCCTAAACCCTAAACCCTAAACCGGGCCGTAGACTGATTATGGGGGCCAGAAGGACCGGCTCTAGGGTCAAGGGCCAGTCCAAAGCTTCAGCTGGTCTGAAAGTGCTTTTGGGTCAGCCCTGAACCCTGCACGTTGTTGGAATGTCCCTAAGCCCTAAACCCTAAACCCTAAACCCTAAGCCCTAAACGTGCCACACTAAACCCTACACCCTGTGAGCCGTTGGTTCAGGGCCAGGGCCGGGAGTTGTTGGGCTTCAGCTTACAGTAAACCCCAACAAGTTGGAAACCTTTTGAAGGACAAATCGTGCTGGGACTCCCAAGACTTTACTCTTAGGGGCTAAGGCTATTGAGTTTCCAACCTTTTGGCTTCTACTATAGTTTCGGATCTTGAGGCCTAGGCTTCACGGGCCAACCTAAACCCGAAATCACTACGCCCCTAAACCCCTAAACCCGAAACCCCTAAACCCTAAAACTCTAAGCCCCTAAACTGCCAAGCCTAAACCCCTAAATCCCGAAACCCCTAAATCCCTAAACCCCTAAACCCCTGAACCCCTAAACCCCTCTACACCCCTAAACCCCTATAAACCCCTAAACCCCTAAACCCTAAACCCCTAAACCCCTAAACCCTAAACCCCTCAACCCTTTAAACCCCTAAACCCTAAACCCCTAAACCCCAAACCTTAAACCCCTAAACCCCTAAACCGATCCGATGACATCTTGCATAAACCCCTAAACCCCTAAACCCCTATATCCTTAAACCCCTATATCCCTATATCCCTAAACCCCTAGACCCCTAAACCCCTAAACCCCTAAACCCCTAAACCCCTAAACCCCTAAACCCCTAAACCCCTAAACCCCTAAACCCCTAAACCCCTAAACCCCTAAACCCCTAAACCCCTAAACCCTAAACCCTTAAACCCTAAACCCTAGATCCCTAAACCCCTAAACCCCTGAACCCCCTAACCCCAAACCCTAAACCCTAAACCCCAAACCCCAAACCCCAAACCCCAAACTCCAAACCAATCTGGAGCCGGAACCTGTGCCTTGCAGCGACAACTCAACGAGGCCTCTCCAGCTGCGTCCCGCAGCCAAGGTGCCCCAGGCTGGTTTAGGGTTTAGGGTTTAGAGTTTAGGGTTGAGGGTTTAGGGCGTAGGGTGCCCCAGGCTGCATTTGGTTAGATTGGGGCTTCTAGGGCTGCTTTCTGGGTTTATAGGGTTTCGGTTTAGGGTGTAGGGTTTGGGATTTAGGGTTCATAGGGCACATAGGGTTTTTGTTTATAGGGTTCGTAGGGTGCATAGGCTTCATAGGCTTCACAGGCTTCATAGGCTTCATAGGGTTTATGCTACTATTTGCTTAAGACCCCCCGCCCCCCCCCCCCCCCCCGAAAGCATATGAAACAATATTCTTCCTGACAAGGTTAATATAGGGATTACGGTTTATAGGGTTGCGTGGGGTTTGTAGGCTTTATAGGCTTTTTGAGCTTCATCGGGTTTCAGGTTCATAGGGTTTTATGGGGTTTACAGGGTTTATAGGGTTTATAGGGTTTATAGGGTTTATAGGGTTTATAGGGTTTATAGGGTTTATAGGGTTTATAGGGTTTATAGGGTTTATAGGGTTTGGGGGTTTTCAGGGTTCACGGGGTCAAAAATCACAGCGGAGTTAGAGCCAGCCCTTATGTTCAGCGATATGTTGGATACCTACTCTGAAGGTATATAGTAAGCATATTTCAAACCTAAACCCTAAACCCTAAACCCTAAACCCTTATAAACATGCTACCGCGTCAGGGGGCACAGCTGACCCCTTGTGACGAGTACAGAGTTGTGGGACGCAGGTGGCCCCCCTAGACCCCTAAACCCCCAAACCCTAAACCCTAAACCCTAAACCCCAAACCCTAAACCCTAAACGCTTATTCTTTTAAGCCCCTTCTGAACGCGCGCGCTTCTGCCGCTGCTCCACGAGGAGCCTTCGGCTTCGAGTTCCTTCCTGGCGGCCGGCTGCTGCCGGTGCGTGGGCCTTGGGATTCAAGGGCTTAAAAGAATAAGGGTTTAGGGTTTAGGGTTTGAGGTTTAGGGTTTAGGGTTTGGGGTTTAGGGCTTAGGGTTTGGGGTTGAGGGTTTCTCGGTTGCTACCCCTATTCTTTGAAGGACATGCGCGGGGGGGCAAAATAGTGCCCGTCCCCTTATATTGTAAAACAGGCTTTTGGGTTTAGCCTGACATTGAGGGCAAACAAAGACGAGGAGCATCAACGAACACCCAGCAGGGCGGCAAGGGCCAGGAGGCCCAGACCACTGCCCAGACAGGCACGGCCCGTCCCGATCCCACACCAAACCAGCAGCAGCCGGCGGCCCATCCCACCACCGAGAACTCCCAGGACCATCAGGATTGGCAGACCCGAGACGATGATTGGTCGGCGTGGTGGGGTGGTTGGCAGAAGCAGGGTTCTTCCTGGAGTCAGGCAGATTGGTCCGAGTGGGACCGCGACCAGCAGGAAGGCAAAGGGGCCTTCCAGCATGATCGGCAGAATCTTGTTTGCAAACATTTTTTTCAGGTGAATGTTGGTGCTCGCTGAATTCAATGAGGATTGCATGATTTGATTGAGAGGACTGCCCAATTGGGGCTTGTTCTAAATTGTTAGACTCTTTTCTGAATCTCTTGTAGCATCTTCCTCGTAGTTGCCATAGTTTATCAGGCTGTGGGTGGGATTTGGGGTGGTTTAGGGTTATGGACCTATGGTAATGCAGTCGCGAGATCCAGACTCGTGCCCCTAAGGTTGTACCCCTAAGGCGCTTCCCTTTCATGTACTCCTAATATGGCCCTTGTATTCCCTTAGGGATCCTCAAACAGGGACCCCAAAAACCCAAGGGTACAACCTCCAGGACCCAAGGTAGAACCCCTAGATTCAGTGGGGGTAGGGGGAGGGGGGGGGGGGGGGGGGAGACGGAAACCCTAAACCCTAAACCCTAAACCCTAAACCCTAAACCCTAAACCCTAAACCCTAAACCCTAAACCCTAAACCGGTCCTAAGGACCAAAAGAGCACTTCGGTTGCAAGCCCCAGGTCAAGGCTAAAATGCCGTATGTAGACGAAACCCCAACACCCCACAACCCAGACACAAGGAAGACCTAAACCCCAAACCCTAAACCCAAAACCCTAAACCCTAAACCTCAAACCCAAAACCCGGACACAAGCAAGACCTAAACCCTAAACCTCAAACCCTAAAGCCAAACTCCGGGCCCCAAGCCCTCAGAGCTGCAGAAAGAGGGTTTAGGGTTTGGGGTTTAGGGTTTAGGGTTTGGGGTTTGGGGTTTAGGGTTTAGGGTTTGGGGTTTAGGGTTTAGGGTTTAGGGTTACATTCGACCTGAGGCAGCGCCTTGCAGGGCCCAGACGCTTAGCCGCAGGCACGCGCGGAATCGCCCAGGCCGGTTGAGGGTTCCGGGTTAGGGTTTAGGGTTTTGAGTTTAGGGTTGGGGGTTTTGGGTTAGGGTTGAGGGTTTGAGGTTTTAAGATTTTTGAGGGTTTGAGGTTTTGAGGTATTGAGCTTTTGAGGTTTTGAGGTTTTGAGGTTTTGAGGTTTTGAGGTTTTGAGGTTTTGAGGTTTTGAGGTTTTGAGGTTTTGAGGTTTTGAGGTTTTGAGGTTTTGAGGTTTTGAGGTTTTGAGGTTTTGAGGTTTTGAGGTTTTGAGGTTTTGAGGTTTTGAGGTTTTGAGGTTTTGAGGTTTTGAGGTTTTGAGGTTTGAGGTTTTGAGGTTTTGAGGTTTTGAGGTTTTGAGGTTTTGAGGTTCAGGGTTGTGGCTGGAAGTTCACTGCTTTTTTTGTTTTCGTTTGTTGTTTTTGTTCTCGTGTGTGTGTGTGTGCACGTGTGGGGGAGAGACACGGCCCAGAAAAATGGGAAGGCCTTACTAGGCCGTCAAGCCACGTTCAATGGGTTTAGCTATTTGCGTCGACAAGGTTGCATTGCGGAAGTGTATTTCCTGAGCACCTGCTTCCTGACAGCCAATGGGCTTTAGCTTAATTAGGGTTTAGGGTTTTCCCTACACCCTAAACCCTAAATCCTAAACAATAAATCCTAAACCCTAAATCCTAAACCCTAAACCCTAAACCCTAAATCCTAAACCCTAAACCCTAAACCCTAAACCCTAAACCCTTTGAGCCCCACACTGCTGTCCAGGGCATGTCGCTTGACCAGGGCACATAAGCATGGTGCCGCCTTGTCTGCTGGGCTTGGGGCGCAGGGTTTCGTAGGATTTGTTGGGAGGAGACAAGAACCCTGTGAGGCCGAAGCAAGCCTTTAAGCCCTCGTTAGGGTTTAGGGTGAGGGTTTAGGGTTTAGGGTTTAGGGTAGGGTTTAGGGTTTAGGGTTTAGGGTTTAGGGTTTAGGTTTTAGGGTTTAGGGTTTAGGGTTTAGGCTTAGGGTTAGTTTAGGGTTTAGGGTTCAGGGCGACAAAAGATGGCAACAGGCATCCAGGGCCCTGTAAAAGCCCGAATTCCTGCCCTTAGTTCTGAGTCCCTGGCTGGTCTTGCATCCTAAAAAGATACACACAGTCCTAAACCCTGCTCCCCAAACCCTAAACCCTAAACCCTTAATGAGAATCCTAACGCTCACAGCGATCGACAGTTGTTCAGAGTCTGGTTTTGCGGCCTTTTGGGCTTCGAGTCTTCAAAGGTTAAGTTACAGGGCCTTTCCCCGGCAAAAGACAAAAAACACATAACATGCCCCAAAACACGATGCCCAAAAACGTGTCGTCGAACCACTTGAACCCTGAACCCCAACGCCCCATCGGCTCCTTTCCTTCAGGCCGCAACTGACAGCGGTTACAAGCCCCAGCCGCGCCCCGAGATTTTGGATCGTGTAATGTTGTAGGGGCCATAAGGGAATAATATTCGTGTTTTTTCCGACCCTATAGTACACGGGGGTAAGTTCCAATGCTGAAGCCTCGGCCTTACCTGAAGCTCAATTCCCCTACAAGAGTCGCCTGGTATGCGCTTTTTGTCGGGGCTAGAGGCGACTATTGCTAGGACCCAGGGTAGGCCCTTATTCCCTTTTTTGGAGGGTTTAGGTTCCCTTTCTAAGCGTCTTTGAACCGAAAAGGGTATCCTGTTTATTCCCATCTTGGGTCTAGATTATGGGTACTTCCGAGGGTCACGCTTCAATTGCAACCTCAACGTGCGCGAGGTGGGTTTTGGCCACCTGCTCCCGACTTCTATCCCCAAGTCCCGAAGGGTCAACCCAAACCCTAAACCCCAAACCCTAAACCTTAAACCCTAGTTGGCCCCTCACCCTAAACCCCCCAAACAGAAGAGAGGCTGCTCCCAGCTTAGAAAGAACGCCTAAGTACCCAGCACATCCTCCCCTTCAAGGGACTAAAAGAGGGAGCCTTATAATGCCTTCTAAGGGGATCTGTAGGGGTTAGCTAGGGGTTATTTAGGGGCTATTTAGGTATATATAGGGACTAGATAAGGCTTAGGTATATAGGGACTACGTAGGGCTTAGGTATATGGGGACTCCATGAGGGGTCACTCCTTAGACCCCTTAATCCCCTGTGAGGCCCCTAAACCCTAAACCCTAAACCCTAAACCCCAAACCCTAAACCCCAAACCCTAAACCCTAAACCCTAAACCCCAAACCTCAAACCCTAAACCCTAAACCCTCCTGTGAGGCTGCAGCAGCTGCTCTCAAACGCCGACCTCTTTGTCCGCACGCCCAGCTAACGGTCGACTGCGCTTTGAGCGCACGCAAGCTTGCACAGCTACAAGCAATGACTGAATAAAGGCAGAAGCAGGTGCATAATACATATATATATATATATATATATATATGTTTATGTATATGTACATGTATATGTATATGTATAGATTATATGAAATTTAATATTATATATGTGCATGTATATGTGCATATGGTAGCTACATAGATGTACGTTTATATTTGATGTCGACACTTACGCACGCACAGACGCTTGTGTAATGTTATGATTTATTTATATTTACATTTATATTTATATTTATATTGACATTTATTTATTTATGTAGTTATAACCTATAAATTCTAGACTGCTAAGTCCTAGGGTTCCGGTCCTCAACACAACTGGAAAAGCTAGATAAGAGTCCTGAAAGCCTCACGGGAGGCTCGGAAAGTGGTTCAGGGCACGCTGGTTTAGAAGAATCACTGGGTGCACTTGCTGGTAATGAAGGCACGTTTTTGCAGTGGACCTTTGCGGGCCTTCCATCAGAGCAGCAGTCAAGATGGCGAGCAGGTTGTTCTGAGCTTGACAACAGAAGACCGTCGCCGAATCTTACAAGCCGCTGACGACTTGCTTGCAGATGACGTGAGTGCCACACCCACGGCCGTTGGGGTTGCGAGACGCATGGGGGCGTCGGCAGTCGACCCTGAGGCTTTGAGAGCAGTTTTGCGATGGCGGCGGCAAAAGTTTGGCAAGTCCACCCAGGAGGACAATCAGAAGATGACTTAGCAAGCTCTGCTCCGATGTGGTCCGATCCTCGCGGCCGCCCGCTCCACGTGGCACGGTGGAGCTTGCGTGTAGTTACGTGGGTGTCTGTGCTGATGCCGTTTTTGGGTTGAGCTTGCGCGGATGCATGCCGGCGGCGGTGTAGATGGCCTGTACCTTGCAGCCGATTGGACCTTCAGGGTGGATATATGCAAAAAGGGGTTTTGAGATTAGGGTGTAGTGTTTCGGGTTTAGGGGGCTAGTTATGAGGGCTTTGGGGCGATTAGGGTTCAGGCTCTAGGGTTTCGGGTTTAGGGGCTATTAGGGTTGTGGGTTTAGGGGCGCAACCAGAGCCCATATAGGGTGTAGGTTTTCGGGTTGGGGTTTTGGGTTTACCTCAACCCCCAAAATATGCAAAATAATGGCCCTTTTCAGGGTTTGGGGCTGTTTTTTTACATACTTTGAGGGTCCAGGTAGAGCTTTTGCCCACACATGTGCGAACCCCAGGCCTTTGTCGTTTCGGCTTTGGAACGCTTGATTGCCGGCCTTACAGGGGCTTTCAGGGACCAAACATAAGTACTATAGGCTTTGGGAGTTGCGGCTGAGGGTTTAGGATTTCGGGTTTTAAGGTTTAGGGTTTAGGGTTTAAGGTTTAGGGTTTAGGGTTTAAGGGGCCTCTAGCCCCTGGAACGTTTTCGCAACCAAAGAAAGCTCAACATCCACAATGTGGCGTTTTCAAAAGGAAAAAAGCCTCAGGACCAGGAAGGTTCGAGAGCCCTTTGACTTCAGAAAGTCAAAATGTTCTAAACGGCCACGCGGATGCCACGGCGCAGCTTTTTGCGGAGAAGATGCAAATCGGCCATAAGGGCTACCGGGGTTTAGGGTTTAGGGTCCAGGGGTCAGGGCCAGGGGTGGAGGGCACTTCGGCTAAAAAGCAGGACCCCAGGCGAAGAATGTTGCGGCCCGTGCGCGCTGCGACGTCCACCCCGCAACCCTCAATACCCTACTAAGCCTTATCCTAAACCCTATAAGCCCTAAACCCTAAACCCGAAACCTAAACCCTAAACCCTAAACCCTAAACCCTAAACCCTATACCCTATAAACCCTAAACCCTAAACCCTATAGACCCTAACCCTAAACCCTAAACCCTAAACCCCAAACCCTAAACCCTAAACCCTAAACCCTAAACCCTAAACCCTAAACCCTTCCCCCGAATCCTCAAGGCCTGGCGTCGGCGAATGTCCGAGCAAGGCCGTCGAGTCGCGCCGACGCCTCGAAGTTTCGGGCCCTCCTAGGGATTGGGACTTGAAGGTTTTAGGGTTTAGGGTTTGGGGTTTAGGGTTTAGGGTTTTAGGGTTTAGGGTTTAGGGTTTAGGGTTTTAGGGTTTAGGGTTTAGGGTTGTAGGGTTGTAGGGTTCCTGGGCTTTAGGCCTTTAGGGTTTTAGGGTTTTAGGGTTTAGGGTTGTAGGGTTGTAGGGTTCCTGGGCTTTAGGCCTTTAGGGTTTTAGGGTTTTAGGGTTTTATGGTTTTTGGGTTTAGGGTTGTAGGGTTCCTGGGCTTTAGGCCTTTAGGGTTTTAGGGTTTTAGGGTTTTAGGGTTTTAGGGTTTTAGGGTTTTACGGTTTAGGGTTCAGGGTTGTAGGGTTTAGGGTTCAGGCTTTCAGGGTTGTAGGGTTTAGGGTTCAGGGTTTAGGGTTTTAGGGTTTTAGGGTTTAGGGTTCAGGGTTGTAGGGTTTAGGGTTCAGGCTTTCAGGGTTGTAGGGTTTAGGGTTCAGGGTTTAGGGTTTAGGGTTTTAGGGTTTTAGGGTTCAGGGTTTTGGGGTTTCAGGGTTTCATGGTTTCAAGGTTAGGGTTTCAGGGTTGTGGGGTTTAGGGTTTAGGGTTTCAGTGTTTCAGGGTTTCAGGGTTTCAGGGTTGTAGGGTTTAGGGCTCACCCTTGGAGGCTTCTAGGGTTCAGGGTTCAGGGTTGAGGTTGTTTTGCCGGGTTTAAGGTTCAAGGCTAAGGCGTTTCAGAAGGATTCATGGGGTTTAGTTCAGTTTTGGGGGGCGATTCAGCTTAAACCTCTCTGTTTGTCTGTATTTCGAGGTCATAAGCTAGCTTGGAGTTTGGGGTTTAGGGTTTAGGGTTGCAATGGTCTTGGTCTCGCGCTGCAAACCGCGAACGTGCGCTTGCTTGCATGATGTCGTATTATCCTCAGCTCCCCCCCCCCCCCCCAACCTTGGGCCTTGAAGGGGTTCGTATGGGGTAGCTTTGGGGCCCAAGTATCTACTACATGGGCAAATGGACCCTGAGGGCCAAGCAACCCTGAACCCGCCGAGCAAGAGAAATATGCCCTAAACCCTCCGAAGAAAACAGCGACAAATCATTACCCTCCCTAAACTCTAAACTCTAAACCCCAAACCCTAAACCCTAAACCCTAAACCCCAAACCCTAAACAAAAATGATTACCCTCCCTACACTCTAAACTCTGAACCCGAAACCCTAAACCCCAAACCCTAAACCCTAAACCCTAAACCCTCTTTTCTCCCCAGGCTGGTGCCCACCATGGGCAACTTGCACGAAGGCCACCTGGAGCTGGTGGACGCAGCCCTCGAGCGGGCAGACGAGGTGGAGGGTTTTGGGGTTTAGGGTTTGGGGTTTAGAGTTTGGGGTTTAGGGTTTGGGGTTTAGGGTTTGGGGTTTAGGGTTTGGGGTTTAGGGTTTAGGGTTTGGGGTCTAGGGTTTGGGATTTAGGGTTTGGGGTTTAGGGTTTGGGATTTGGGGTTTGGGTTTTAGGGTTTGGGGTTTAGGGTTTGGGGTCTGGGGTTTAGGGTTTGGGGTTTGGGGTTTGGGGTTTAGGGTTTGGGCTTTGGGCTTTGGGTTTGGGGTTTAGGGTTTGGGGTTTAGGGTGTTTGGGGTTTAGGGTCTGGGTTTGGGCTTTGGGCTTTGGGTTTGGGGTTTAGGGTTTGGGGTTTGGGTTTGGGGTTTAGGTTTTGGGGGTCTGGGGTTTAAGGTTTTGGGGTCTAGGGTTGAGGGTTTAGGGTTTGGGGTTTAAGGTTTGGGGTTTAGGGTTTGGGCTTTGGGGTTTGCGTTTCGGGGTTTTGGTTTTGGGGTTTAAGGTTTAGGGTCTAGGGTTTGGGGTTCAGGGTCTAGGGGAATGGGGGTGTACAGGGCTTCGATGGAGTCTAGGTTCATAGGGTTTGGGGTTCAGACGGCTCGGGGTTTGTAGGGCTTAGAGGGTGTTAGCTTCATGGGATGTAGGTCTTCGGGTGTATAGCGTTATGAGCTTGCTCAGGGCGATTGTGGGTTCAGGGTTTTAGGGTGGCGCGGCGCATTGTGTTTGCAGTCCGCGGTTTTCTTATGGGGTTGAACGGGTGTGTTGAAATATGTACATATATATAGAGGATCTATAGGATACATGAGGTGCCCAGGGCGTACTATGGGGTTTTGGGTTTGTAGTCTAGGGCTTTGCCGCATGTTTGGACAGTTTGTGGTTCAGGGCCGAGGGGCGCAAATCTTGAGCATGTTCTCTACGCCTTACTCCAAAAAAAACATGGGGATTATTCTTATAGTTCAAGGTGTATTGCTTAAGCTTAATTCAGCGATTGTGGGGGCTTTCGGGCTTCAGGATTGAGGGGGTTTGGGCTTGGGGCTTTAGGTTTTGAGGTAGTTGTGGGTGTTGGAGTGAAGGGCATTGGGAGGGCCGTTTGTTCTCCAGCCAACTTTCCCCCTAAACCCTAAGCCCTAAACCCTAAACCCTAAACCCTATAACCCTATAACCCTATAACCCTATAACCCTATAACCCTATAACCCTATAACCCTAAACACAAGCCTGAGACTGGCCTTGGGCAGAAACGGAATGCTCTAACTACCCCGCCATACCCGAACACGGCCCCAAAGTGTCCACAACCAATGGTTTCGGGTTTAGGGTTTAGGTCTTAGGGTTTAGGACTTAGGGTTTAGGGTGTAGGGTTTGAGTTTAGGGTATTTTGGCCTTAGTTTGGGTGGGGGGGTGGGGAACCACAACTGAGAGAATTGGTGGTATGGTTTGCATATAGTATCATGTAGCATTGGTTTCCTTCACTGGCGCTTGAGCGCTGGGCAAGCTGCAAGGCCCAAACCCCAAATCCCAGCCCCAAATCCTCAGCCGTAAACTTCAAACCCAACCTGCCAAGTCGCGCCAGGCGATTGTATCAATTTACGTGAACCCTTCCCAATTCGCATCCCACGAGGCTCGCTGCGTTGCGAGGGCATAGGGCCTTTTAGGGCTTGGGGCACAGGGTTTAGGATTTAGGGCGCCCAAGTATCTGTTGCGGGGCTTTGGGGCTCAGAACTTCTGAGTTCGTGCTTGAATATCCAATTTTTCTTATCGGAAATGAACACAGATTACTGTTATACAATTTGGTATATGTTTTGCATTTTGAAGCCCAGAAACACACACAACGGGGCGGGGTGGCACGCTGCTCGTAATAACCTTTTTGGCAATGCCTAAGCCCTAAACCCTAACCCTAAACGCATCTTGTGCCACCTAGGGTTCAGGGCTCTCGTGCAGCTCGAGGCACTAAACCTAAACCCCAAAGGCCCTAATCCCTCAGCCCAAACCCCAAACTACCCTACACCAAGGGATATTCCCCCCAAGACTAACAGTCCTTAGTAGGGATAATCATATGGTGTACTATAGTCCCCCTATTAAGGACTGTTAGGACAAGGGGGAGCATCCCAACCCGAACCCCTAACCCTAAACTCTAAGCTGCCCTAAACCCTAAACTACCCTAAACCCTAAACTACCCTAACCCTAAACTACCCTAAACCCTAAACTACCCTAACCCTAAACTACCCAAACCCCAAACTACCCTACCCTACACCCTGAACTACACTAAACCCTAACCTACCCTAAACCCTAAACTACCCTAACCCCTAAACGACAGCGAACCATTTCCGGGATGTCCTGGGAGCCTTGCCATGCATGTGGAAGCTCCTGGGAGGGGGGTTTCTTGTGGCCACGCCCGGTGGTGGCTGTGATCCGAGCGCCTAAACCCTAAACCCTAAACCCTAAACCCTAAACCCTAAACCCTAAACCCTAAACCCTAAACCCTAAACCCTAAACCCTAAACCCTAAACCCTAGACCCTAGACCCTAGACCCTAAACCCTAAACCCTAGACCCTAAACCCTAAACCCTAAACCCTAAACCCTAAACCCAAAGCCTAAACCCCAAACCCTAAACCCTATTCCTAAACCCTAAACCCTCAACCCTCAACCCTCAACCCTAAACCCTAAACCCCAAACCCTAAACCCCAAACCCTAAACCCTAAACCCCTAAGCTTTGGATGTTCACCCTTACTAACAGTCGAGAGGGGGGGGGGGGGGGTCTCTTGTGGCCACGCCCGGTGGCGGCTGTGATCCGAGCGCCTAAACCCTAAACCCTAAACCCTAAACCCTAAACCCTAAACCCCTAAGCTTGGGATGTTCACCCTTCGATTATAATACTATAATAAGAGGGCACTATAATCCGACTGTTAGTATGAGGGGGAGCATCCCAACCTCAACCCTAAACCCTAAACCCCTGAGGTGCCGAAAGGCCGGCCCCCCATGAACAACTAGGACCAAGAGTTTAGGGTTGGTTTAGGGTTTAGGGTTTAGGGGTTTAGGGGTTTTGGAGTTTAGGGGTTTAGGGCCCTTATCCGGGCTTCATAAATGATTCAGGCTCCCAAACCCTAAACCTTAAAACCCAAAACCCCAAACCCTAAACCCTTCAACGCTCCTAACACCCCATTAAGCCCCTAAACCCTAAACCCTACAACCCTAAACCCTAGACCCTTCAACGCTCCAAACACCCCATTAAGCCTCGGGCTGAATTCAATACGTATCAGAACTAGTTTTTTGATCTGGAGACACTAATCAAGGTATGCTGATTGCCATGTAATGCGTCTTTAGGTTTTAGGGTTTCAGGTTTCGGTTTAGGGCTTTGGCCCTTACAAGCGCAATATGTTGCTTGTGAACACTGGATTTCGGTATTGGAGCTCATTGGTCGTCCTACATCCCTCCATTTTCGTGACCGGCATCTGCAGACCTACTCCTTCAGGTTGAGGGTTCTGGGTTTCGGATTTAGGGTTGAGGTTTCTAGGATGCCCAGTAGTACCCTTATTCCCTTTTTGGGGGGGGTTTAGGTTCCCTTATAAACCCCTTTAAGCAAAAAAGGGCACCCTTTTTAAGCCTTGGTTACTGGGCAGCCGAGGTTGTAGGGGTGAGGGGAATATTTTGCAGAGGCTCAGAGAGCCGGCCTAGCTATAGGACCCCTAAGCTCTCAAGCCTGAGCCCCTCGTGTTTGACCCCTAAACCCTAAACCCCTAAACTCCAAATCCCTAAACCCTAAACCCTAAACCCTAAACCCTAAACCCTAAACCCTAAACCCTAAACCTAAACTTGACAGGATCTGGATATCTACCCGCGCACCCTCGAGGAGGCGCAGTGAATGTCCGTTACATAGTTTTAGGGCTTAGGGTTTATAGGTTTCGGTTTAGGGTTTGGGGCTATGGGATTTGGGTCGTGGGGGGTTGGAGTTGGCTGCCTGCATTCGCACCTTACCAGGGCTTCAAGGGCACAAAACTGAACCGCTACCTTATGCCTTGGGATGTTCCCTCTCATATAGCCCCTCAATAGGGTTTCAGCACCCCCCTATTATAATCCCTATTAAGAACTCTTAGTTCATGGGTGCCCCTACTACCCCCCTCTAGGTATCTAGGGACAATTAAGCTTAATTAAGGGAATAAAGGGGGGGTAGTAGAGAGGGGGGTAGTAGGGGAGCCCATGATTAGTATAAGGGGGAACATCCCAACTTATACCCTTCTACCCTTAGCTTGCAGTCGAAGGGCAACTTAACTTATAGGGCTCTTAAGCGAGGGAGGGCTCAAGGGGGGCATGTATCCTAAGGTTCCCGAATACCTACTCCCACAACTCTAAACCCAAAACCCTAAACCCTAAACCCTAAACCCTCACAACAAGAACTAGATCTGTTTACCCTCTACCATTTTCATGGACCCGGGACCCTCTACCCTCCCTGCAACCCCCCCCCCCAAGTTCTTAGGCCCACAAGTTGACCTCGAATATTTCGGGTATCTTCGAGGGTACTTGGGGGTTTAGGGTTTAGGGTTTAGGGTTCAGGGCTTAGGGTTCAGGGATTCAGGCTTCGGTGCGCAGGAAGCCCGAAGACAGACCGTGGAGCCGAAGTCCTATGTAGAGAGACCTCGATAACCCACGATGCGAGGGAAGTATGTTCAGGGTTTAGGATTTAGGGTTTAGGGTTTAGAGTTTAGGGTTTTTTAAAACCCAAGAGGATTTTCAAACATGTTATTTGTATGAAGGTTCCTCAGGGGAGTATAGTACCGGACAACTCCAGCTTTCTTCTTGTTTCTTTTTCAAGGGTAGTGAGAGGGCACAAAACTTTGTGCCCTAAATCCGACTTAAACCCTAAATCCCTAAATCCCTAAATCCCTGAACCCTAAACCCTAAACCCCACAAATGTAGGGCTCTCTCGGCTCACAACATCAATGTGGGAACCCGACCATAATATCGGTTTAGAGTTTAGGGTTTAAGCAATTGCTCCCCCAAACCGCGAACCCCGCCCGAAACCCTACCTGGGACCCTCTTTATCTGCAGCGTTACGGGTTATGACCTTTAATTAAGGGTAGTTACACTAAACTGTCGGTACAAAGAGTCCCAGGCAGGTTCTTCTAAACCCTAAACCCTAAACCCTAAACCCCAAACCCCAAACCCCAAACCCCAAACCCTAAACCCTAAACACACCCGGGCTTGAACCAGAGATTTTGGGTCTGCAGTCCTGGTGCAGGATGTGCAGAAGCTGCGCGAAAGAGGCGCCACCGCCGTCTTCACGCCTCTCTCTCCGGAGTTGCATCTTGGCTGGGACCCTTCGTTTGGGGTTTAGGGTTTAGGGTTTAGGGTTTAGGGTTTAGGGTTTAGGGTTAGACGGTCACATCCTTGGAGATTCTCTAAACTAGGGGCCGTTTGGTACCCTATATCTAAGGCTCCCGTACTTAATTGTAGTAAGAGCCCATGAAAAATGAACCTACCTAAACCCTGGATTTGGGAAAGCTGCCATAAATGAGCGCCGCACCTCCTCCACGGGGAAGCTGTCCCGCGCGATGCGCGCGCTGAGGGCCTCGCGCCACTTATGTGGGCTCAAGTGCCTACCGCCCATATACATCTTCTCTTATAAAAAAACAACACATGACCCGAACCCTAAACCCTAAACCCTACAACATAAACCCTAAACCCTGAACCCTAAACCCTCAACCCTTTTGGTTTCCTTTGTATGTGTACTCAGGTGTATAGAGTGTAAAGTTTCTTTTAACCTTCTTCTGATAGCTACTAAGATGCGGATGGCGAGAGAGGTGTAGGCAGTAGGTTAAGTCCCTAACGCTGGCAATGGTGGCTTTGCGGGCTACTCCTTCGAGTCACACAAGAGTTGCTACTCCAACCGTAGGGCCTCCGCCTTCAGCTTGCCTTCGAGTCACACCAGAGTTGCTACTCCGACAGTGGTGCCTCCGCCTCCAAAGCGCACTCCGAGAGTGGTGCCTCCACCAAAGTCAGCGGCCCAACCTCTGACTCCGAAGCAAGAAGCAGTTCCTCCCGCTGGTGTTAGCAGCACGACCTCCTCCATCGAAGCAAGAAGCAGCTCCTCCTGTTCCTCTTCGGCTGGCGACAAGACCGTGTGGGCGTAGATGGCAAAAGGGTTCTTCATAGGAATCCCAAACAGGGAACCGCAGGAACAGAGTAATTTGGAATATACAGGCATTATAAGGACCCTGGTAGGTATATCCTGTTCTATTCCTACTATCTTCTTGGCCCTAAACCCTAAACCCTGAACCCTGAACCCTGAACCCTGGTGCCCTATTTGGGGTTCCCACTCACCTCCCGGATCTGTCTTTACCTAGGTGTAAGGGGGTATGGCGTCATGTCTAAGAGCGCTGTTCCACAAGGTCAGGCTTTGGAGCTTGTGGTTTGAGGGTTTTGCTGGGCTTCAGTAGCCCTAAACCCTAAACCCCAAACCCTAAACCCTAGTGAAACCCGAAGCCCTAGAGCCCACAGGTACCCTAAACCCTAAACCCTAAACCCTAAACCCTAAGCTCGAGGTATCCGACTGGAAGCCCTGGGAGTACCGTGGCCCTGGGCTCAGGATGAACAGGTGAGGTGTCCCCAATCCGATATGGGCGGGTTTTAGGTGTTTCGGGCTTGGATTCCCCGAGCCTCAACCCCCAAAAAGCCGTACAGCCCTAACAGCCAGAAACCGGGGTGGGGGTGGAGTGGGGGGGGGGGGTGGGGGGTGGTGGGGGGGGGTGGGGGGTGGGGGGGGGGTGGGGGGGGGTGGTGGGGGGGGGGGGGGGGGGGGGGGGGGGGGGGGGTGGGGGGGGGGGGTGGGGGGGGTGGGGGGGGCGGGGGGTGGGGGGGTGGGGGGAGGGCGGCGGGGACGTGGGGGGACGGGGTTTTGGAGGTTAGGGCTTTTGGCTGCGTTCTGAGTTTGGGGTTGTAGGGATGAGGGTCTTAGCCGTTGACTCGTAGGGGTGTGGCGTTATAGGGTTTGTGGTGTCGGGGTTTTGGGGGTTTGGGTTTTGGGGGTTAGGGTTTAGGGTTTAGGGTTTAGGGTTTAGGGTTTAGGGTTTAGGGTGAGAATTTTTGTTGGGGGGTTTAAGGTTTGATTGGGGTTTAGGGTCGTTTAAGGTGACTGAGAAGCGTCATGTTTTTCTTATCTCAGGTGGTGCCCAAGTTCGTGGAGGGCAAGAGTGAGGCACGCTGCGCCCTGAAGCCTACGGGTTTAGGGTTTAGGGTTTAGGGTTTAGGGTTTAGGGTTTGGGTTTAGGGTTTAGGGTTTAGTGTTTAGGGTTTAGGGTTTAGGGTTTAGGGTTTAGGGTGGCCAGAAGAAAGCCTCAGGGTTTACAGAGTTGGGTTTAGGGTCTATGGTTCGGGGTTGGGATGTTCCCCCTTATACTAACAGTCTTTAATAGGGATTATACTAAGGGGTACTAGAATCCCTATTGAGGACTGTTGGTATAAGGGGCTAACAGTCTTTAATAGGGATTATACTAAGGGGTACTAGAATCCCTATTGAGGACTGTTGGTATAAGGGGGACCATCCCAAGCCTAGGGTCCCTACGAGGCTAGAAGAAGGCCTAAGAGCACATGTTTGCCACGACTTCCTGGTCTTCGTACTCACGTGGTTTAGGCTTTAGGGCCCCAAGGCCGAGCATGAAGGGGGATTCTGGGCTAAACCCGGGTTTAGGGTTTAGGTTTAGGGTTTAGGGTTTAGGTTTTAGGGTTAGGGTTTAGGGTTTAGGGTTTAGGGTTTAGGGTTTAGGGTTTAGGGTTTAGGGTGCCCTAAACCGTGGACATGTTGTTTCCGGTGCAGGGGGAAGGGGGAGTTCTCATAGAAGCAAGGTGGGGGTTCTCAGCGCCCTCCAGAGTTGAAGATTTCTACTCGGACCCTAACGTCCTATACCCTATAAAGCCCTAAAGTCCTAAACTTGAAAGCCCTAGACCCTAAGCCCCTGGAGCCCTAAAGCCCTAAATTCCTTAAATCCCTAAACCCCTAAAGCCCTACAGTCCTAAGAGGCCGCCGATCGCCCGCACTTCTTCTCTGGCGTCGCGACTGTCTGCCTTTCTCTCAGCTCTAGGTGTGTCCGGGTTAAGGGTTGAGAATACATGGTGAGTTCTCAATTGTTGGCTCCTTGTTTGAGGTACACCAAATAATAGGGGCCGGCCGCCTTATAACAAGGACCCCTTTTCGGGCTTGTAGGGTTTAGGTTCAGGGGAGGGTCAGCTTTAGGGTCAAAGGGACCAAGGATGAGGATTTAGGGTATTTAGTTCGAAGAGGACGGGTTTAACAAGCCGCGTGGAGCAAGTTTCTGATCCTTCGCCCCAACGAGAGCGACCGTGTTGCTTGCTTGCTGGCTGGCTTGTGTGTGTGTGCACCTTCATGTGCGCAAGGTAGGATTTGAACAGCCGCTGTGCATTTCTCGTAGTCTTCGTTTCCTGCAATCAGGTCTGAAATTCTTCAACCTCGTTCAGCCAGACGTCGTGATTTTTGGGCAGAAGGATGCGATGCAGTGCGTGGTGATTGCCCGCATGCTCGAGGACGGCAGGGCGCATGTAATCTGCTACGCTGCACCTGTCGTTGCATGGTTTTTGTCTGCTGACCGGAGGTAGGGGACCTTTATGTGCCCCAGCACCTAGTAACCCTTGTTTTCGGAACCCTCAACAAGGGCAATTACTCCCAGTTGGAGTGTCGGGTTCCCGGCAAAGGGCACTAAGGCATGAGCCGACCAGCACACAGAAACACGCAAGGGTTGAGGTTCACTAGCATGCAGAATTGTTCAAGGTTTAGGGCTTAGGGTTCAGGGTTTAGGGCGCAGGGTTTACATAACTAGGTAGGCCCTTGGGATATTTAGGCCCTCATGACTGGGTTTAAGAGGATCATGTTTAGGAGTTTTCTTGTTACAGGGTTGTTAGATCGGTACATCAGACACATACACGAGAGACGGACAGGCGAGCCGAGAGCCGGAAAGTCAAGCAGACAGATGAAGCAGTTTGCACAAATTAAGGCTTGGGGGTTAGGGTTTAGAGTTTAGGGTTTAGGGCTACTCTTGTTTGCGAGCTTTTTTTCATCACTGTTGTATGTGGGGTCATGAGGGGACTCTGGGCGCCCGAAATTCGTAAAAGGTTCAGCCCGATTCTGATTCCACTGCGGGGGGGGGGGGGGGGGGGGGAGATAGGGTTCAGGGTCTAGGGTTGAGGTTTAGGGTTTAGGGTTTTGAGTTTTGGGTTTAGGATTTAGGGTTTAGGGTTACACCCATCAAGCCGCAAGCCTATCCAGGATCTGATGTTGCACGACCGCATCACTATGCATGTGGTACCCACCTCTCGAGAAGCAGATGGGTATCCGACTCAGCTGTCTGTTCGGTGTGCTTTAGGGTTTAAGGTTTAAGGTTTAGGGTTTGGGGTTTGAGGCTTCTTGGGTTTGTTCCCTAAAACCTTGGCCCCATGGCATTCCTGCCCTTTGTATTTCCTTGCATTGCCACGGCTTCACTTATGGGCCCTTAAGGCCCCGTCCCTAAACCCTAAACCCCAAACCCCAAACCCCAAACCCCAAACCCTAAACCCCAAACCCCAAACCCCAAACCCCAAACCCCAAACCCCAAACCCCAAACCCCAAATCCCAAACCCCAAACCCCAAACCCCAAACCCTAAACCCTAAACCTCAAAGCCTAAGCCCGATCAAGCCCAGGTCCTCTTGGGAGTGGAAGCGATTTCACCTCTTTTTGGTACTCAGAGGCTTCCTACCAGTAAGTGCCAGACCCGAAGGCTCCTAAGCTGAACCCTAAACCCTAAACCCTACACCCTAAACTCTAAACCCTAGGCCCAAAGCCCTAAAGACCCTAGACTTGGGACGTTCCCCCTTATGCTACCAGTCCTTAATGGGGATCCTAATGACCCCCTCCTCTGAAAGGAAGAAGAGGAGGTGTGAGGCAGCGAGCTGCTGCCCTCGAAGCTGAGCAGGTCCCAGCTGTGGAACGCACCTAAACCCTAAACCCTAAACCCTAAACCCGAAACCCTATAAACCCTTTGGCCGCACAGCTGAAGGAGAGGTGGGCTTGGGGTGATATCAGCCCAGCGACCGTGCAGGCACTGGCTGCAGCTGCTGTGAAAGGGTTTAGGGTTTAGGGTTTAGGGTTTAGGGTTTAGGGTTTAGGGTTTAGGGTTTAGGGTTAAGACTTCGATGCAGTTGCAGCAAAAGCTCCGGCAGAGTTACAAGCTCTGGCTTGTTGCCCATCGCGCTCAGAAGGCGTTCCACGGCCTGCCATGCAGTTTTCTAGGTCCGTGGGACTTTACAGGGTTTAGGGTTTAGGGTTTAGGGTTTAGGGTTTAGGGTTTAGGGTTTCACTTTATCAGTGTAGGGTTCCTCTAATTTCAAATTCAGGGAGCCAAAAGTTAAACTTTTCTTGGGTCGGGGGGTTAAAGAGCAACCGAGTCTGCAGGGTTCGGAAGGGGGTTCAAGGGAGGTATGTCACCCAAGGTTCCCTCATGCTCCCCACTACTCCCTCAGGCTTCCCCTCCCTTCTAAGCAGTGTCTGGTTTAGGGCTTAGTAAGGCTTAGGGCTTGGGGTTAAGGGTTAAGGGTTTAGGTCGGGGTGTGGTCTCTCCTTCCCGACTAACTAAGCAGTCTACCTTGAATCACAATAGGGACCCGAATACGATTTTTGGTATCGTCCTTAGTTAAGAGGGTTCTGGGCTCTCTGGGTTTAGTATCATACAGGAATCATTCAAGAAGCTCCAAGCCCCAAACGCCCCAAGCAAGTGAAGCCCCGCGGCTTCCGACGTCAAGGTTGGCCCGATCTTCTCGGAATTCGTACCTCACGCCGAGCATGCGCCAGAAGGCAGCGCGGCAGTCAGGTTTGGGGTGCTTCCCCGCAAACCCTAAAACGATTCAGGGCTTAGAGTCTAGTTAGGACCCAGATGAAACCCTTATTTCACTTTTTTAGGGTTAGGTTTCCTTCTAAGCCCCTTTAAACAAAAGAGGGCACCATTCTTCATTCCTAGGTTACTCCTATAGGGTTTAGGGTTTATTCCTGAACTTTTTGCGATGCTTGAGGCTTGCCGAGGTAGCTCATTTAAGTCGATGACCCCTCATCCACTCTGATAGATACCATGGCTTCCGTATCATGGTGGTGTCAATTTACGCCCCTCCCCCCGACCCGAAAGCCCTCAAACTCACAGCCTGAATTTGAAACCCCAAACCCTACCCCCTGAACTCTGCACCCTAAACCCGCATCCCGGAGCCTTCTCAAGTGGGTTGGAAAGACACTAAGCCTCGTCCGTCATCAGCCCTAGGTGCAGTTTTGGGTTGAGGGTTTGGGGTTAAGGGTTTCGGGTTTAGGGTTTGGGGTTTAGGGTTTGGTGTGGTAATGTGGTAGCAAAGCAGCAGACAATGCGGCATGCCTGTCAACCCCAACACCCAGAACTCCTGCAACACATCGCACCCCGAGAGCCCACAAACATCTGGCACCTTACGGGCCCTCCAAGCCCGGAAGCCTCAAAACCTCCCAAACACTTGAGTTCCAAAGCCCTAAAGCCCCAAAAGCCTAGACCGTAAACCCCTAAAACTTACAAGCCCTTGCAAACACTTGTAAGCCCTGATAATCACTAAACCCTAAAGCCCTGCGCCCTAAAGCTCCAAACCCTAAAGCCTAAAGCCCGACACCCTAAGTCTTAAACCCCAAGCCGGTAGCCGGAATCCCTGAAACGGCAATCCCAGACCCGAAATCCTCAACCCTGAACTCTGAACCCTGAGCCCCAAGCCTCAAGAGCCCTACACCTGGTGCCCTAAACCCTATAACCTAACACGGTTCATAGGCATAGGGTTTAGGGTTTAGGGTTTAGGGTCTAGGGTTTAGGGTTTAGGGTTTAGGGTTTAGGGTTTAGGGTTTAGGTTTAGGGTTTAGGGTTTAGGGTTTAGGGTTTAGGGTTTAGGGTTTAGGGTTTAGGGTTTAGGGTATTCAGCCTGAAAGCCAGGCACCGGCCATCTACCGAGCTTTGCGCGCGGCCACGGGGGCGGCGGATGCCTCCCCAGGCTCTGCGGGAGCCCCAAGGCACTTGATGTGGAAGGTTTAGGGTTTAGGGTTTAGGGTTTCAGGGTTGTAGGGTTTCAGGGTTTTAGGGTTTTAGGGTTGTTGCGTTTTAGGGTTTTAGAGTTTTCGGGTTTTTCGGGTTTTGGGTTTTAGGGTTTAGGGTTTAGGGTCAGGTTCAGAGTTGCCCGGGTCCTTAAGAATTCCCTAGGTAGGGGCCCCAGAGGCCGCATTCCCAGGTTCCGTAGCGTCTTCTCAGGGTTTCTAGGCCTGAAGATTGTCTAGGGTCCCTAGATTTTAGGGTTTATAGGTTTTAGGGTTTAGGGTTAGGGCCTAGGTTTTGTGGGGTATTCTTTAGGGACCTAGAAGGGCGAGGGATTGTAGGGTCCGTGAGTTTTATAGGTCTTAGCGTGCGTAGGGTAGCTTGAGTTCCTGGGGTTTGTACGGTTCAGGGTTTATTGGGTTTATGGTTTAGGGCTTAGGTGTTAGGGTTTGGTGGGTTTAGGGTTTGTAGGGTTCAGGGTTGTTTGGGATTATGGGGTTTAGAAGTTCAGGATTCATTGTCCAGGGGGTTAGGGTGCAGGGGGGTTAGGGCTTGGGTGAGAGGACGCTTTTAAAGGCACTTCGGGGGGGGGGGGGGTTAAGGTTTGGGGGGCTCAAAACTGAAAAATCTTACAAACAGGACACCCTAAACCCTAGACCCTAACCCAGTTTTTGTTCATTCATCATTGCTGCGGAGAAGTCGTAGGAAGCGCACCTACAAAGCGATTTTAAAGAAAGGATATGAGGCTTCGGGGGTTTAAGGTGCAAAGAGATATTAACAAACACTCTGGCACTCCCCAATGGAGGAGGGGGAAGCCGTTTCAATGAAACCCTACACCCCTAGAGCCCTCAACCCTACTCTACGGCCCTAAACCCTAAAGCCTACCCTACGCCCTACGAACCCTAAGCAACACCCTACACCCCTAAACCTCGAACCCTAATTTCCCCCCCCCCCCCCCCCCCCGCTAAAACTCCAAAACGGGACCCGAACTGGGGTTTAGGGTTTAGGGTTTAGGAGTTTAGGAGTTTAGGAGTTCAGGGTTTAGGGTTTAGGGTTTAGGGTTTAGGAAGGTACGCTCTCCACAATCCGAGGTCCGCACGCAGGTCCGCCGGGATCTTGAGAGCCAGGGCCTGACCGTGAGCCCGGGCTCCAAGACTTTTTGGGGCTTAGTAGGGGTTTTGGGGTTCAGGGGTCAGGGGTTTAGGAGGTTTTTAGAGTTTTTGCTGTTTTTTTTCCAGTTTTTTTTTTTTTATTTTTTTTGGGGGGGGGGGGGGGGGGGGGGGGGGGGTGTTTTGGTGCGTTTTGTGTGTCAGGGGGTCAAAAGGCTTTGTTTATTGTGTGCTTGTGTGTGTGTGTGTGTTGTGTGTGTGTTTTTTTTTTTGGAGGGGGGGGGGGGCTTTGGGCGTTTTAAGCTTTTTAGGTTGCGGTTTGTTTGTTCGGGTTTTAGTAAAATTTAGGGTTTTGGGGCTTTTGGGATTTGAGGTTTTGAGGGTTTAGAGCTCGGTCCCTGAAATCTCCGCATCCAAGGTTCAAGTTCAGGAGCCCTAACGTCTGAGTTTAGGATTTAGGGTTTAGGGTTTAGGGTTTAGGGTTTAGGGTTTAGGGTTTAGTTCCCCCTTCTACAAACAGTTAAGAGGGATTATAGTACCCCTATGATAATGCCCATTAAGGACGTCAGAATAAGGGGGAGCATCCCAAGTTAGAGAGGTTTAGAGTTTCAGGGTCTGGGGTGGGTGGGGGTGGGTGGGAGGTGTAGAGTGGCAGGGTTGAGGAGCGCAAGTTTACGGAGCTGTTTAGCGCATTCTTTTGCAGATGGCATCTTCCTCGTTTCGCGATATGACACCATGTAGCTACTATGCTGTGTTTGGGCAGTTTTTTTTTTGTTGTTTCCGTGGTTTGGTTTGCTGCGTTGTATATCGCGTACATACACTACGCGTAGCTAGATGTAGAACGCATGAACCCTCAACCCTAAACCCTAAACCCCAAACCCTGATGGGTCACCAGGCATCTTCCAGTCTGCCAGAGACTCGACCGAGGAACTCTAGACCTGTAGACCTTTTGTAGGGTTTAGGGTTTAGGGTTTAGGGTTTAGGGTTTAGGGTTTAGGTGTTAGGGTTTAGGGTTTAGGGTGTAGGGTGTAGGGTGTAGGGTGTAGGGTGTAGGGTTTGGGGAGGCCCATTCTGCATAAGCCCGACGGCTAGAAGGTGCGACTATCTGTACAAATACAGAATATGTCTACGTAGGTATGTATATATATATATATGTGTATTTATTTATACTCACATCTCTACATACATACGTACGTACGTACATATATACATACGGATGTTCAATTAATGCCTGACACGCCGTGCACTTCTGTCTCACACTAGTACACTTTCTATCCTCGCGGGCCCCAATATTATTCTCTGATTGAATCGGCCTGCGCAACAGAAGGCTCATGTAATAAAGTAACAATACGGGCTGTTTTTAGCAGATAAGCTTACTTTTACTTTTCCTTCGGGCGCGTACGTCATGAATTTCTCCCAAAGGGTCCATGTACCCATATCGTATATACTTGGGCCTTGAAGGGGTTCCTAAACAGTAGCTTTAGGGCCCAAGTATATACTGTATGGGTACATGGGTACATGGGCCCTTGGGGTCTTTGGTTTAGGGTTTAGGGTCTAGGGTTCAGGGTTTAGGGTTTAGGGTTCAGGGTTTAGGGTTTAGGTGCGTCGCATCTCTTCTGCATGCCTTGAGGCTACATCTCCGTGGCAGACACTCGCTTCATGGACGAGAAAGCTGACGAGGCAGTCTGTGACCGGTTTAGGGTTTAGGGCTTAGGGATTAGGGTTTAGGGTTTATAGGGTTTATAGGGTTTATAGGGTTTATAGGGTTTATAGGGTTTATAGGGTTTATAGGGTTTATAGGGTTTATAGGGTTTATAGGGTTTATAGGGTTTATAGGGTTTATGGGGTTTATGGGGTTTATAGGGTTCAGGGTCTGTTCTAGAGTCCGATCCCCTTGACTCTGAATTCAATTTCATGGCTTTCAGGCCTAAAGCAGAGGTCTGCAAGGGGGGTTGGGTCACCGCACGTTCCTTATATTAGGGTTTAGGGTTTAGGGTTTAGGAGGGTTAAGGGTTTAGGGAATCCTCCCTCCTCCCCCTGGTTCTTGGTAGGAATTGAGTGCATGAGGGCCCTCCAAGTACCATACCCTTTAAGGGATAGGGTTTAGGGTTTAGGGTTTGGGGTTTGGGGTTTGGGGTTTAGGGTTTAGGGTTTAGGGTTTAGGTACTTCATTCATTCCCTACTAAGAGTCAGCCTGGCCCTCCGCCCTCACAAGTGCCTGCTTGCAGGTTCCTGAATTGTAGGGTTTGGAGCAGGGACTTGCCCTAAGGGTCCATGTACCCATACAGTCTAGGCTTGGGTCCTAAAGCTACTCTACAGCAACCCCTTTTAAGGCCCAAGTCCAAGTATATACCATTGAAGCACATGGACCCTTAGGGTTAGAAAGATTATTGGGCTCTGGGTCAGGACTGAAGCCCAAAGAGCCCAATACCCCTGTACCTTTAAATCATATCAGTAACCCTAAACCCTGAAAACTAAACCCTAAACCCTCTTATGATTTAAGGTAGTCCTTAATCAAGGGGTATTGGGCTCAGGGTCAGGACTGAAGACACCCCGATCCTTGCACCATCCATCCTCAACCCATGCAGGCCCACACCCTGCGCCTTCGTCCTAAACCCTAAACCCTAAACCCTAAACCCTAAACCCTAAACCCCAAGCCCCAAACCCCAAACCCCAAACACCCACAACCCGACACTGCAGGCAGATCTCAGCAACTCGGTGGTCAGCATCTGCTGCGTGATGAAGGACTCGTCCGATGATGATTTGCTTGGGGTGTAGGGTTTAGGGTTTAGGGTTTAGGATTTAGGGTTTAGGTTTTAGGGTTTAGGGTTTAGGGTTTAGGGTGTAGGGTGTAGGGTTCAGGGTTTTTGAGGTGTCGGGTGCTTTATGTACTGGTTCTTCTTAGTGGGGAATGTGGGAATCAGGTACCGTGCATCCCCCTATAGCCCCACATACACTTCTCCAAGAATTAGGCACCTTATATCCCCCGATATGTACCTTTACATCATTGTATTCGTTACCCAATTTACGAAGAACCGGCAATGGACCGGCAAGTTTAGGTCAGCAGAGGGTTTAGGGTTTAGGGTTTAGGGTTTAGGTTTAGGGTTTAGGGTTTAGGGTTTAGGGTTTAAGGTTTAGGGTTTAGGGTTTAGGGTTTAGGGTTGCCCTAAACCCTAGACCCTTAACCAGCGCTTGCGCAGATGTTTGCATTTGCCTTGGGCCAGCTCGGGGGTTTCAGGCAAGGGCTTAGTGCTTGGGGTTTAGGGCTGGAGGTTTAGGGTTGAGGGTTGAAGGTTTAGGGTGTAGGGCTTATGGTTTAGGATTTAGAGTTTGGGGTGTAGGGTTTAGGGTTGAGGGTTTAGGGTGTAGGTCCTAAACCTTGAAGGTCCACAGCAGCTGTTTCGTGAGGAGGAGGGAGCTCGCACGTGCCGACTGCTGGACAACCTCCTGGTGCCGGGGTCCAGCTGAAGGCCGCCCGCAGCTACTGGCAGTTAGGGTTTAGGGTTTAGGGTTTGGGGTTTGGGGTTTAGGGTTTAGGGCTTTCTGAGAAATATTCAACATACCCCCTGGGCATACCCTCAAAAGAAATTTGGGGGGGGGGGGGGGGGGGGTGGAGTATGCTAAAATCCTCCCTTAGACTCCCTTATATTCTCCTCTGATAGGTTACGGGGGTATGGGTTTGGGGTATGGTGAATTTTTCGTAAAGCTTTGGGGTCTATAGGCTGGCTGAGGGTTTAGGCTGTGGGCCCTAACTCTAAGGCAGGTTGCATGATCCCTAGAAAGAAGACAGGATGCCCAGTGTTCCTATTTCCCGACTGACTATCCGAAACCTTAAACCCTTCTCCCTGAACCTTAAACCCGTATCCCTAAAGCTTACCCTTGCCCCTAAACCCTTATCTCTAAACACTAAACCGCTGCACCGCTAAACCCTAAACCGCTGAAACACTACACCGCGAAAACCCTAAACCCCAACCCCAACCCCAAACCCCAAACCCCAAACCCGAAACCCTAAACCCTAAACCCTAAACCCTAAACCCTAAACCCTAAACCCTAAACCCTAAACCCTAAACCCTAAACTCTAAACCCTAAACCCTAAACCCTAAACCCTAAACCTTAGCATCGGCTGTCAGGCGAATCTGGTGTGCCAGCTGGTGAACCTCGCTGGCGCAGTTGTTCCATAGCCCCTGGCACCCCAGGGTTTAGGGTTTAGGGTTTAGGGTTTGGGGTTTGGGATTTGGGGTTTAGGGTTTAGGGTAAACTCCAAACCCCTACACCGCGAAACCCTCCACCTTGAGGAGGGTTCAGGGTAAATAGAAAATAGGGTGCAGGGTGAGGGTTCAACTGCCGCGCCCCAGCAGGGCCTCAATCTCCCCCGCAAGCCGCAAGCCGCGATCGGTGCCAATTTGTTTTCAATGCATTTTGTTTTCCATGGGCTACGCCGGCTGCAGGCCCAACAATCTCAACCCAATTGACGGTTTCCGAAGTTAGGGCCACCTAACTCGGGGTCCTTAGATGGAAATCCTACTATTTGGGGACTCTTTTCGGGGTCCCCCTATTTATTTTAAGCCACAGTGTCTGAACCCGAAAGCCCTGGACGCATAGACAGTTACACCCCCACCCAAAAAAAAGAATTCGGGGCCGCCTTATAATCGTAACCCGAAACGGGACCCTAACTTAGACAATCCCGCCATATTATCATATGACACAGCACTGGGATCCATCGCCCATACCGGTCCCTAAACCCTAAACATCAAACCTTAAACCCTAAACCCTAAACCCTAAACCTAGCTTTCACTAGTCAAGCAGCTTTTCAAGCGACAGGAAAATACCCACCCACCCAGAGAATCCCAAAACATTTAGAGAGATATAAGGCAAAAAAGTTTCAGCGGTCCATCCCACCTTCGAACCACTCAATCGGCACCCTCTTTTCGCTACTCCAATCCCCAACCCACCCTAGAACCAACTAGACAACCAACAAAAAACCTAATTGTGTTTCCTCATGCTTTTTGTTTTCCCACCCCACCCTCGGTCATAAGGGTGGGGTGGGGCGTCGAAGCCTCGGGTTTCGAGTCCAGAATTGGGGGGGGGGGAGGTGGGGGGGGGGGGGGGGGGGGGGTGAGAGGGGTGGGGCGGTGGGGGTGTGTGGAGGGGTGGGGGGGAGGGTGGGGGGTGGTGGGGTGGGGGGGGACCTTAAATGGACCTTGCCCACGAAGAAATGGACCTTAAATGGACCTTGCTCACGAAAAAATGGACCTTGCCCACGAACCATTAAGGTTTAAAGAAACATCGGAAAGAAAGGTTTAGAGTTTAGGGATGTTCCCCCCTTTGCTAGCAGTCCTGCTCAAGATTTGTGGGACCCTCTTCCCCAAACCCTAAAGACTTAGGGTTTAGGGTTTAGACCTACTGAGTGCAGAGCTCAGACTGCATGCAGCTGGCTTTCCGCCGGGTCGGTTTACAGCCGCGCCTCACCGAAGGCCCTCGAGCCCTAAACCCTAAACCCTAAACCCTAAACCCTAAACCCCAAACAACCCTAACCAAACCCTAAACCCTGAACCAGTTGCTTTTTGCGTAGTCGTGAGAAGGTCCGAGTCCGCGCTTGTACAGAACGCGCACACTGCGAAGGGCGCGCAGATGCGGCTGAACTCCCTATCGGCAGTGCCAAAAAGCCTGGAAGCAACCCTGACCGAGCTAACATGCCGCCTTGGGCTTCCTACCTCCCTTCAGAACCCTAAAAGGGTTTGTGGTTCATATACCCTAATAGGAGTTATAGTAGTCAGGGTACATGACCCCCAATTTTAGGGTTCATTTCGTCCCCAAGGTCAGTTTAGGTTTTCTAATTTGGATGTCAGTGGAGTAGGAAATCGGGGGGGTGGGCGTGGGGGCGGGCGGGGAGGGGGGGGGGGGGGGGGGGGGGGGGGGGGGGGGGGTGGGGGGGGGGGGGTTTAGGATAGGGTGGCCCAAAAGCCCTAGCCAGCTAGGCTTTGGGATATGATTGTACTTTCCCGTTTGGGGTGTTAGCAGATGATCCAGAAAAATATGTCAGTGGGTTTTTCGGTCAGGCTTTTGGGGTGTATAGTGTTTGCGGGCGGACCCAAAAGCCTAAACTCTTACTACAGTAAGGGCTTTAGGGTTCCAGGGTTAAGGGTTTAGAGTTTCCTAGTTTTAGTAGGGTTTAGGGTTTAGGGTTTAGGGTTTTGGGTTTAGGGTTTAGGGTTTACGGTTTAGGGTTTAGGGTATAGGGTATAGGGTTTAGGGTTTAGGGTATAATTAGGGTTTAGGGTTTAGGTTTTGGGGTTTAGGGGTTAGGGCTTAGGGCTTAGGGGTTAGGGTTTCGGGCTTAGGGTGTAGGGTAGTTTTCAAGACTTACACCCAGCGGAGGATGACCGCCTTTGAGTATGATCAGTGTAGACCCTAAACCCTAAACCCTAAACCCTAAACCCTAAACCCTAAACCCTAAACCCTAAACCCTAAACCCTAAACCCGGCTCTCCTGGCATCTTCCGGCTCCCCTGGTTTCGACTAAACGTAGGCCAGCAAAATCGCGGCGTTTAAACGGCCGTACTACCCAAAAAACATGATTTTAGCGTTTAGGGTTTAGGGTTTAGGGTTTAGGGATCCCCCAAAAAAACCGCGTCTGCGCGGTGACTTTGCGCCAGCAGGCTTAAGTTTGCTGTGGGCTCGGAGCGACCGACGCCCACGATCACCATGTGTCCAGCCCGTTACCTTGCTGCGGACTGGGATTCGAAACGCTGAGTATACCTGTGATGCCCCCAAACAAGACTTCCAAGAAGAGAAATAGATGACATGGCAAAGATCATTGATTGGTTACCAAAGATTATTAATTGTAAAATCCCAGAAATGATTATGGAAATGATCCCAAATGCAGGAATTATTAAGATGTAAACTTCTGGATGTCCAAAAAACCAAAAAAATGTTGATAGAATATAGGACCTCCTCCAAATATAGGATCAAAGAAAAGTGTATTTCAATGAAGATCACCCAATATTAAAAGAAGTGTACCAGATAAGATTGGTAATGTTAATAAAAGCATGAAAGCTGTAATCAAGAAAGCCCAAGGAAATAATGGGATAGTCTTTAATGTCAGATAGTAAGATCTCAGATTTGGAATTGTTTTCCAAAAGTTAAGAGATGTAAGACATGAAGGTATACCAGAGATGAATAATCCAAAAGATTTCCTGTACTTGGAGGTGACCCTAAGCCCGAAAGGCCCCTAGACCGACTAGGGTTTAGGGTTTAGGGTTTGGGGTTCAGGGTTTAGAGTTTTAGGGCTAAGGGTTTATAGGGCTAAACACCCGTAAATGATGGTGTTTCTTCTGCGTTTTTCTTTTTTTTTTTTCCGGATTTGTTGGCTACGTCGATTTGGGCATCGAGTTGCATCTTTGCCATCCATGGCGAAGAGCCTAGTAATTACCAATATGTTCCCAGTTAGTTCATTTATAGAACGAATATTAGTACTAAATTATATTACTAAATATTAGTACTAAATAATACTACTAAATATTAAATATTAATACTAAATTATACTACTGAATATTAATACAAAATTATGCTACTAACAAAAACCCTTCATAAAAGCAATTGGCCCTCTTCGGACGCCGTTGTGAGACGGAGGGCTGGATACATTCCCGAATCTCTGGGAGCATGATCTGGAGGGACGAAGAGTGCGCATGACGCAGCGCTCTGAGCATTGGACTTGCCAGGTTCGGTGTCCATGCACCTTAAACCCTAAGTTCTGAACCCGGAAAACCACAAACCCTCAAACCCCAGACCCTCTCAACCCCTAAACCCCAACACCCCAAAACCCTGAACCCTTTAAACCCCAAACTCTGAACCCTTTTTTAACCCTAAACCCTGAATCCTTCTTAACCTCTAGGGTTTAGGGTTTAGGGTTCTTTTTCTGAGAAGCTCCTGAGCTGGCCCTGACATATTTTGTCTTACCCCCCAGGGTTTACAATTTAAGTTTAGGGCTTAGGGTCTAGGGTCTAGGGTTTAGGGTCTAGGGTCTAGGGTCAAGGGTTTAGGGTCTAGGGTCTAGGGTTTAGGGTCTAGGGTCTAGGGTCTATAGGGTTTAGGGTCTAGGGTTTAGGGTTTAGGGATTCAGTTCAGCCAGTCTCGTCCCTACGGCCTAAGCCACACTACGTCTTTTCCAGCATTATAGGACTTAGAGTGTAGGGGTTTCAGGCTTCTAGGGCCTCAGGGTTGAGGGGTTTGGAGCTTAATTAGGGCCCTCAACCCCAAACCCTGAACCCTAAACCCTAAACCCTAAACTACCCTAAACCCCTAAACCCTAAGCCCCAAACCCTAAACCCTCCATCCCTAAACCCTAAACCCTAAACCCTAAACCCTAAACCCTAAACCCTAAACCCTAAACCCTAAACCCTAAACCCTAAACCCTAAACCCTAAACCTAAACCTGAACCCTGAACCCTGAACCCTAAACCCTAAACCC